GAGGGAGCGGGGAGGTAGATGGGGTAAAGGGGGTCAAATATGTGGTGACAGAAAGAAATCTAACTATGAGAGGTGAACACACAGTGTGAATATATATATGCCTTATTGTTAAAGTGTCCAGCTGAAACTATTGGATTTCGTTAACCAATATCACCATAAAAAAAAATAAATTTTAAAAAATAAATAAAAAAAAAATCTGAAAGTGAAAAAATAAATAAATGGTTTCTTTATATTTTATCGTGTCTGTTTTTATAAGTAGTATTTTTTTGGAGGGGAGTAGAGAATTTGTCCATTTCACCTAAGCTGCCAAATTTATTAGCATTGAGATTTTAATAATATTTATATATTTTCCTTTGAAAATCTCTAGAATATATAGTTATATTACTTCTACCATTTGTAATATAATGTGTTCTCTTTCAATTTTTGGTAATTAATCTTGCTAGAGTTAACAAATTAATAATCTTGTAACAGATCCTACTTTTGACTTTTTTTTTCTTAGTGTATATTTCCTTGATTTCTGCTTTTAACTTTATTATCTTCTTTATCTTATTTACTTTGGATATATTTTTGCCGTCTTTTTTGCTTACTTTTTACAGTTGGAAACATAGATCATTGATTTCGAACCTTATTCTACTTTTTAAATGTAGATTCTAAAATTAGAAAATTTCCTCTAAACATCCCACATTTTATGATATAATTTACTTTTATTATCATTCAATTAAAAATATTGACTCATTTTCATTCCATTCTGTGAGACTTCTTCACCAATTGAGCTCTTTATAAATGTTCAAGTGGAAGACTTTATAAAGTCTAAGGTGGAAGTGAACTGGTACCACAGGAGAATTTGGAGCTTCTGCAATGAAAAATAAGAACAAAAATGGTAAATATCCGAGTAAATAGAATAGAGCATTTTTCTCCTTTTAAGGTCTTTAAAATATGTATATGGTTAAAAGCAAAAATTATAACAGTGACTGGTAATCATCAATATTAAAATGTTTGCTCTGCAAAAGATTGTTAAAAGAACTGAAAGAAAGCTACAGACTGGGAAAATCATATGCAAATCACATATCTCACAAAAGACTTCTCTCTAGAGTATACATAAAATATTAAAAAATCAAAGGTAAAAAAAATTTTAATCCAACAGTAAATGGGCAAAATATTTGAACAGACATCCCAACAATGAAGATATATAGACAGTAAATAAGAACATGAAAAGATACTCATTAGAAAACTGCAAACTTAGACCCCAGTGAAATACTTTTACGCGATGACAATATTAAATGCTGGTGAGGATGCAGAGCAACTAGACTTCTCACAGATTGTAGGTAGGAATCCAAAATTTTACATCCAATCTGGAAAACTTTTTGTTATTTTCTTATAAATTTCAATATAGAGTTATATATGAGCAAGGAATCTTCTGGGTATTTCCCTAGAGAAGTGGAAACACAATGCCTGTATGCTAATGTTTATAGTAGCTTTATCCATTCATTGGAATCCTACTCAGCAATAAAAAGAAACAAATTATTCATATGCACAAGGACATGCATTATGGTGAATGAGAAAAAGCCAGAGTGAAAAGGTTGTGTAAATTATAATCCCATTTATATGACATTTGGAAAAAGGGTGGAGCATATATCAATAGTTGCCAGGGCTTAGGAGTGGAGGGAGGATTTGACTACAAAGGGACAGCATGGGGGAACTTTTTGAGGTAATAGAACTGTTCTTTATCCTGATAGCTATGCTGGTTATACAAATCTATAGATGTTTTAAAACTCATAGAATTCTATATCTAAAAGATGGTCAATTTTACTGTATGCAAATTAAAAAATAATAAAAGTAACAACATAAAAGTGAAAAAGAAAATCACCAAGTACCTAAGAGGAAATGGTCAGGACCATTTGGGTTTCAATGGACTTGGACAAGATAACTTCTCTATGACTCAGTGTCCTCATCCTATAAAATACTAATGTTTCTGGTAACACCTTATGAGATTGTGTAAGAGTTAAGTAAAATAATACAAAGATAATCTTTAACATATTGAACTCACTCAATAATTGTCAGTTCTATTTTGATTTACTACTATGCACAATAAGATAATTGAGGAGAGATCAGTGAAACTTATTTGGCACATGTAGCTCTCAGTTGGCATATATAGCCTGCTTTCTGCTTTTCCTGATTTTGAAATCTCAAACTCAAACCACTCTAAATGTGTCTTCTTCACTTTTCACATGGGAAATCTAAAAAGTCTGTTTCTAAGTCATTTGCCGTTCTCAGACCATCATGGTGGCTGATATCTTGTAACATTGCTAAACTCATCCTTAAAAACTTTGGATCTAATTCACCTAGGCTTCAGTCTAGGTGAGGGGGTCATAGGATCAGCCCTTCCTGTAGGTACCAAATGAATGATTTTAGGACTTATGAGAACCTGCCAGCCTCATTTTAAAATATGATCATGATCCCTAATTAGAAAATAGTTGTGGGTAAGCACTTATCTGGACCTCAGTTTCTCTTTTGAAAAATGAAGAAATGTATGAGTTCCAATAGCCTTTTTAGCTCTAAAATTTTCTAATGCTAGGATCTTGTTAAAACTAGTCTTCTAATAATTAGTTTCCTTAAGGCTTCCTTCATGTCACGATTTCTCAAGCTGTAGATGAAGGGATTGGCCAGGGGAGTCACCACTGTGAAGATGATAGTGGCCACTGTGTCTTGGACTGAGTAGGAGGATGAAGGGCGCATGTAGACACCCAGGATTGCCCCATAGAAGAGGGAGACCACAGTGAGGTGGGATCCGCATGTGGACAGGGCTTTCCTTATTCCCTGAATAGATGGAAATTTTAACACATTAGAGAAAATAAAAGCATATGAAACAGTGATACATGTGAATGGTGTAATAGATGTAAGCCCACCCACAGTGAATACCATCAACTCATTGATAAAGGTGTCAGAACAAGACAGCTTCAGAATAGGGTAAGGGTCACAGAAGAAGTGATGCACAGCATTGGTGGAACAAAATGTAACTTGAACCATGAGAAGAGTATGAAGGAGAGCATGCAGGTTTGTAATGACCCAAGACACGACCACCAGAAGGACACAGAGTTTGGGCCTCATGATCACAGCGTAGTGTAGCGGGCAGCAGATGGCAGTGTAACGGTCATAGGCCATCACACTCAGGAGGAATCCATCCATGTTGATGAAAGTGATGAAGAAGTAGATCTGGGTCATACATTCCTCGTAAGAGATAGACTTGCTTCCCAATATGTGATTCACCAGCGTCTTGGGGATTGTGACTGATGAAAAACAGATGTCGACGCAGGAGAGATTGGCCAAGAAGAAGTACATGGGTGTATGGAGATTCCTGTCGCAGCTGATGGCCAAGATGATGAGAAAGTTCCCGATGATGGTGGCCAAGTATACCCATGAGAACAGCCCAAAAAGAGCCTCTTCCTGCTCTGACTCCCCAGAGAGTCCCAGAAGAAGGAATTCTGTGATTCTCGTCTGGTTGCCCCTGTCCATCTCTGTAGGGAAGAAAATATGGTGAAAAGTAAAAGGAAGAATTTAATTAACTGGACTTGCAATTTTTTTTAATGATAGCAGATCCAAAGTTTATTTCTTAATTAATATTACTTCGAATATAAAATTAGACAAGATTGGTAATAATATGTCATCATTTGAGTATATATTTTTTATGATACTGTTTCTATCATTGTTTGAGAATAAACTCATATTAGATAATTCCATGGAGTTAGTTTTACTGAAATAAATAGCTGATTAATTTCTATCATTTTAATTTGTGTTTCATTACCTTTGATTACATCCAGCTTAATTTATTAATTTATACTTTACTAATAGTGAATATCTGGTATGTACAAAGTATTTTCGCATACACTATTTCTTTTTATTCTATGAATGGTGAATTGTATCATTCATAGATGTGGACAGTGAGAAGAAGAATCAGAGATAAAGAAACCGAGACTCAGAGAGATTAAGTGATGACAAATTAGATCGACAAGGCCCATAACATTTACAGAAGTAAACAGCTAAAATGCTATTTTATTTGAATTCCTCCTTAGTGTTGCCTCCATATTTTGATTAGCTACCATTTATTGGAAATACAACAAAGTGTTAAGTGCTGTACTCCTGCTTTATATGCATTTTCTCATTTTATCCTTATTAAAATCTGCAAATTTTAGAAATAACAAGCTTCATTCAGCAGAAGGAAAAAAATGAAGCAAGGAGATTTAGCTGTTTGTTCACAACCATAAATTCTTTTACCTGAATAAATCCTACTTTATACAACTCCCTCAAATTCATTCGGGTGTCCCTTACATTTTCTCAGGATTATACAATTTTAGGCTTTGAAGATCTGCCTGCTGGTTTATCCTCAACCTTGTAATGGCACAGCATCAAAGGTCCTTGCAATAGTTCACACCTGCTGGCATGGGTGAGCTAAGTAAGCATGCTGCTGGGGTTGCTTTGCAGGATTCTGCAAAGAGGCTTCTTTTCTCCCTTGAGCTCGTCAAAATAAGATCAGTTAGATGTGGTACTTGGTATTATTTTTAAAGAGGAAGAAGAGGTTCACAAAGAAAATAAAATTATGGGATATATCTAAGTGATAATCCCAGCATTAATAAATCAATATAGGCAGAAAGAGTGAGATAAAACATTGTGAATTGATAGCCATGGAAGAATTCACAGTACTGGGATAGTAAAGAAGAGAGAAGATAACATTTCTGGTAAGAACTGAGGCCTGGGGTAAACAGAAGGAGGAAGAGGAAGAGACTGATGGGAAGCTCGACTGGCTGGGGCAGAGGATGTTACAGGCAATACTTTTAGAAGACTGGTTGTAGAATGTACATAATATGGCAGCAGTAAAGTGTCCTAGAATTTTGAGAGTTAAATTAGTAAGACTATTGTATAATTCTGAAATCTGAAATCATTTTTCCTAAGTTGTATCATGAAACTTAAGGGTGGAAAGGCAGTACTAGGATGTAGCTAGCGCTGTTGAAACAAGGTGCTAGAGAAAAGATGATTAATGTGAAGTGTTGAAGTTGGGGAGCAAGGGTTGCCTCAAGGAAAACCCCTGCAATATTTGTGCATCCGTTTTCATTGTGCCCCAAACAGCAGATGTATGTATTCTGGTCTTAGTGTCAGGCTGTTTCTTATAATCGAAATTATAATAAAAGGTGAAAGAGGTATAGCAGGATGGCAGTGGGTTTTTTCCTGTGAATAAAGCCAAAAACAGGTCAATAGTCTCTAAATAACTCATACTCTGTGTTGAGAGAGCTGCCAGCATTAAGGTTAGCCACTTCCTGTCAGTGTTGACTGGGATAGTCCTATCAGGAGCATACTCAACACTGCTCCCAATCCCCAAGGCACTATGGGAAAAGGGCTGATAGGTGAATGAGCAGTAATTCTGAAGAAAGTCTGTGCCCTTTCATCACACCCTTTCAGGAAAAGAGAAAGAGCTTCCTAGTCCCCAAATGCGAGGGAGAAGAGCACCAAGAACTCGCTCCAAAAAAAAATTGAGTTGCTTGCATGATGGGGAGACCATCATTTTCTGGTTTGGAAGAAGTCTACTTAGCTAACAGGCTTGTTAATCCGCCCCTGTTTTCTTCAAGCAGGGGAGATAAAACAGATAAAGATAGTAGAGCTGAGACTGGAATGGTAGAGAAGCTACTTGTGTGTTTGCTATTTGTCATCACGAAGGTATGGGAGTTTCCTGTGTGCTGGGTGGACCGCGTGGAAGGCACCCGACTTGAGACATCTGGGCAATAATCAAGGTGAAAGTGGTGCCCCCTAGGAAAGAGGATCCCATCAATAAGACACTGCAGTGTAAATCCCCTTTGGGTGAAGCTTTCAAGAGTTGGAGAGGTTGAGTGAGAACTGGCTCTCTCACCTCTGAGACCATCTGGAAGTCCCTGGAACATCCTCTGTGAGAAATCCATGGACACGAGCCATAAGAGAGCCAGCTTTTGTATTCCTGCCATGATCAGTGACAGTCACGAAAGCAGCAAACACCAACAGAGGAAGGGCAGCTTCCTTAAGCGGTAGAGAGTGACACATTCTGAATTTCCCTTCTCTCTTTCTTGCTCCAACTCAGAAAAAGCTAAGTCTAAAAGAGGTGCCGGAGCTTTACACCACACCTGCTGCCACTTGCCCTCCCCCCACCATACTCCAAGTCAAGAAACATTGTGGGAGAGTAGAACACAAGAGATTGGAGTTTTATAATGTTTTTGACTACTGAATCACTAAGAGTGATTTTTATAATATACAATGGTGTAAAATGATGGAATCTGGCCAGGATGTTTTATGAAAGCTAACAATAGATCAGTCACTAGAAAAAATGTACTATCATGTCATTGTTTAAACCCCAACATGTTGAAATTTCACAGTGAATAGGTGACATACTAAATTCCTCCTATTCTGATTAGGTATTCACCACCCACCTATGAATTTTAATTCAATTTCCCTGGTGACTTCCTTATATAGAGAGAACGCTTTTATCAGTTCCTTTGGCAATGATGTTATTTTTATAACTTAAATATGTTGATGTCTGACTACATGCAATAATGTCTGTGGTCTCATTAGTATGTGACGGTCTCTGAGACGTCTGACATACCTGTGTAATTGGGCATTGGTGTTCCTGGACATTAAAACTGAGGCTGCTTAGTGCCGGGACACCAGCCTAAGCCGACTCCTTCGGTGGGGCTCCCTGCGGCACGCATGTAGCCTCCTCTGAAACACAGAGGGGGTTTATTGGGTGTCCCACGACCACAGCGCG